TATCCCGGTGATCAGGTCTGCAGGCAGCCGTAATTCTCTTCCAAAGTTTGCGAAAGCTGGTGTCACTGCTGTACTTTCGTGAACAGAACTTCGATATGACAACAAAAACGGTTGTATGTGCTTGTCCCAATCTCGTTGCCGATTGTCTACAACTTTTGCTAGGTACCTCTCCAATGTCTGATTAAATCGTTCCACCATTCCATCAGATTGCGGGTGATAAGAAGTCGTTCTTGTTTTATGAGTACCCATAACTCGGCAAGTTTCCTGGAATATTTGAGACTCAAAATTCCTTCCTTGATCGCTGTGAATCTCTAAAGGTACTCCAAAACGACAGAAGACTTCATGAACTAGTTTATCTGCAACTGTTGAAGCTTCTTGATTTGGAATGGCGAAGACTTCTGGCCACTTAGTGAAGTAATCCATCACAACCATGAAATACTTGTTACCGCTTTCACTCTCCGGAAACGGCCCCGCCACGTCAATGGCTATTCTCTCCCATGGTGCACCAACATTGTACAACTTCAATGCACCTCTACTACGAGTCTGAGGTCCCTTTACAGCCGCACAACTTGTACATTTGCGACACCAGTCCTCGACATCGTTTCGACAGTGGACCCAGTAAAACCGTTCTCGGATCTTCAGTAGAGTTCGTTTAACTCCCAGATGGCCTCCTGAACAATCATTATGGTACAGCTGTAGAACATCCGGTACTTTAACTTTAGGGACAACCATTTGCAAATGACAGCTGTCTCCCCGAACGTTTTCCCATTTACGACACAGAACTCCATCCTGAAGCAGCAAGCTGTCCCACTGGGCCCAATAGCTTTTAGTGGTCGAACTCATTGCTGAGACGTCGCTCCACTTAGGCTTGGGAGCACTGGCCTTTATCCATTCCAGAATCGGCTTGATGTCCGGATCTTCCTGCTGTGCATGTTGTAAGCTGTCCTTCCATTCGTTGCTGAGGTGGTCCGTCCTGAGCATCCTCACGGATACCTCTTCCTTACTCTCTTGCCTAGCACAATGGTTGCAATCTTCAGGACAAGGTCTTCTTGACAATGCATCTGCGTTGCCGTGAGATTTTCCGCTGCGATGTTCGATCTCAAAGTCGTATTCCTGCAGTAGTTCAATCCACCTCGCAACTTGTCCTTCTGGGTTTTTAAACTGCAATAGCCATTTTAGTGCAGCATGGTCAGTTCGTAAGTGAAATTTTCGTCCCAGAAGATATTTGCTAAAATGTTGCAACGACTTTACCACAGCTAGCAATTCGCGTCTTGTGACACAGTAGTTCCTTTCCGGTTTTGACAACGACTTGCTGAAGTACGCTATCACGACCTCTTGGTCACCATTCCGTTGAGACAACACACCGCCGAGTCCTATATCACTTGCGTCTGTGTCAACTATAAATTCTTTGCTTGCATCAGGGTATCCCAAAATAGGTGTTTTGCACAGACGGTCCTTGAGCTCCTGGAATGCGATATTGCAACTTTCATCCCAGCAGAAATGTCGCTTCTCCTCGGTTAGCTTGTGCAGAGGTTTGGCTATATCTGCAAAGTTCTTCACGAATCGCCGGTAATAGGAGCACAAACCCAAAAATGCTCTAACCTGCGTCTTGTCTTTTGGAACCGGCCAATCCTTGACAGCGGCGATTTTCTCTGGATCTGTGCGGATACCTTCTTCCGATACTACAAACCCCAAAAAGTTAACTTGCCGTTGAAATAGTGAACATTTCTTCGGGCTCAACTTGAGGTTGGCACTCTGAATCTTCATGAGCACGCGTTCCAGGTTTTGAAGGTGTTCCTCAAACGTACGGCCCACGATGATGATGTCATCCAAGTAGACCAGACAGGCATCGCCAATTAGCCCGGTAAGTACAAGTTCCATCAGCCTTTCAAACGTTGCTGGAGCATTGCACAACCCAAACGGCATTACCTTGAATTGCCACAGACCCTTTCCCGTCGAGAACGCAGTTTTCTCCTTGTCCTTAGGGTCAATTTCAACTTGCCAGTAGCCACTTTTTAGATCCAGCGTGCTAAACCATTTTACTCCTGTAAGCATGTCCAGCGTGTCATCAATTCTTGGCAAGGGATAGCTGTCCTTCTTTGTAACGTCGTTCAGACGGCGGTAATCAACACAGAACCGCATGCTGCCATCCTTCTTTTTCACCAGCACTACTGGTGAACACCATGGACTAGAGGAAGGTTCAATAACACCATCCTTCACCATTCCTTCAATCATGGTTTCCACTTCCTTTTCTCGTGCTACCGGCAATCTTCTTGGCCGCTGACGGATAGGCAATTCCTCTCCTGTGTTTATTTTGTGTTGAACTAGGCCAGTCTTTCCTATGTCAGCATCGTTTGATGAGAATACATCGGCGTACTTGAGTAACAACTTCTTCGCCTTGACCAATTCGTTCGGGGACAGAACACTGCGACAGTCTTCCAAAAGTGTGGTCACTCTCGTTTCTGAATCCTTGCTGGGGGTCCCACTCGATATATATTGGCACTGACGTAACCAATCCACTTCCTCACAAGTACCAACCAGTGTGCCTTTTTCTATAATCTGTTCCCGGTCGCAAAGGTTCAGCACACGTACTCCTGAGATGTCAGTGGTCCTGACCAAGGTTCGAGCTACTTTCCATGGAAGGTCATCGTTTACCCCTTCCACAAGTACACAACGGTGAGCTTGCCCAGCGTTTCGAGGAAGACTAACCGGAACAATCGTTTCCGATCTCGGCGGAAGAACAATCTTCTTGATGCTGTACACGTTCCCTGGTAACGCACCTTCCATAAAAAGTTCCTCCTGTCCACATTTCAAAACACCTTGCTTAACGTCGATCTCGCAACAATTATTCCTCATAAAGTCTAAGCCTAGGATGCAGTCGTCCATTATATCAGCCACGATGACATTATGCAGGTAGATCACGTTGCCTAGCTTCAACTCCATCTCCTTCTCTCCACGGACGAGTATACGCTGACCAGTGGCTGTTACCAAATTAAGGCGTTCTCGGTTGTATGCGGAGTCCCCAAGGAACTGACTTATAAGTTGGGAACTAACAACCGTACGAGAGGCTCCAGTGTCTATGGTCAGCTTACACGGCATTCCGTTGATCTCGCCCTTTATGATTAGGCTGTTCCCATCATGGGTTTGTGAGATCGAGATCCTTGGGGCTCTTTTAACATCAGCCAGCACCCGCCCCGCAGTTCTGGCTTTTACTCGTTTCCCTGCCGCTGCTGGGCGGTGCTGTTGGCCGCACTACCCTCCTGAGATCGTTCAATTTCCCTTTCTAGGGTTCGCTTAGGGCAGCTGGATCGAAGATGGCCCTTTTCCCCACAGCCATAGCACCTTGGGCTGTATCCTTTGTTGCGGTCGCGAACTGTAGCTGCTGCAACCTCCCTGACGCGATGGGAACGATGATCCTGCCGCACGGCTTCCACTTCCAGTGCATGGGCCAAGGCGTCCTTAAGCGTCTCGTGGTGCCCGAGCCTCACAGCAGCTCTGACTTCCAGGTCGCGGATGCCGTCGATGAATGTCTGCACCAGGTTCCCTTCAATGAGCGCAGGTACAGACCGGTATGCTTTTCGCACCAGCTTCTCCACTTCTAGAGCCCACTGCTGCAGGTTTTCGTTGATGCGCTGCACACGATCTTTAAGCTGCGCACGAAAGACGTGTTCCAGGTGAGCGTCGCCATATCTCGCCTCCAATGCCTCAAGGAGTTGCTCATAAGTCACGTCCTCACCGAGAGCTTCCAGAACTGTTAAGGCCTGGTCGCGCAGGCCTAGTGTGAGAGCAGTCATGGCCTGACTTTTATTCCAGCCGTTCGCCTTCATAACAGCCTCGAACTGGATTTTGTAGGCTGACCAGGAAGAAGTCCCGTCGAATGGTGGCACCTTGAACCCACGTAGCGAAGGTGTAATAGCTACTACGGGAGCTGTAGTTCCATCCCCCAGTTTGAGGTCGTCCAGCGTTTTCTTCACGTCAGCCATCACGTAATCAACCCGATTGTTTACTTGGTCGATTTGGGTTTTAGCTTCCTTGATTTGGGTTTCAGCTTCCGACAGGCGGTTGTCATGCTGAGCAACCCTATCCTTCACCTCCTTTATCTCCTTCCCGAAGGTAGCGTGAAGGTCCTTCATGAGGAGCATCTGCTCTTCCAACCGACGGGCCTGTTCCTCCTGTCCGTCCCGCAGCTGCTCTTCCAATCGGCGTGCCTGTTCCGCCTGCTGGCGAGCCTGTTCCTCTCGTCCGCGCTGCAGCTGCTCCTGTAGCATGGCCATCAGAGCACCTAAGTCAGGTGCTGCAGATGTAGGAGCTACTGACGGGCCCGCAGTCTCCGTGGCTAGCTGTTGGCCCTCCGACGTCTGCGGCGTTGCACCACCAAACCTCCTCTGGTCCGTCTCCTGCTGGCGTTGACTTCGGGTACGGACACCCTCCGTTTCCTCCTTAGGTAAAATCGGCATGATTTAATCCCACTTCTGACACCAATTGTTACGAGCTTGAGGTTCGTGACAATAAAAATTGCCGATAAAATTACCTAAATTAACACTTTAATTTACTTTACACAAATTAAAGTTAAAACACTAATAATTAAACACACTAATTCACTTAATTCCGCCCGAAACTTCGCTTGTTACGCCCAAATCAACACTGCCTCGATCGCATCTTGCAGCGCCTATATATTTGAATTAGCAAAGAAATATCCAGAATGTTCAAGTAAACACGCGGAAGGTATCGAGCGTTCGAGTTTCGACTAGGCGCTGTCAGTTGAGCGATTTGTGATGTCATTTTCTCAATGCTCCCCTCGCTCTCGTTCCTGACACTAGATGGCGCTAGTTGACTTATTCATGCAACAATATGTTAAAGAAACAACTAAAAAAACACCAATGAATTATTTCTAAGATGAAGATACAGTGTAAAAAAGAGAGTCCGAAAAAAAAACCAATGAAATTATTAAAAAGGGGGATATAACCGAAATAAAGAAGAGACTGTTATTCAGTGAAGTTATGTCAAAACAGCTATCTCAAAATTATACCAAACTTGGAAGTCCTGCTGAAAAACAGGTATTTGCCAAAGCTATTTCTGGAGATGTAGTTAAGAAGCATAAGGTCCTGTCCAAACAACATGTTCTACCTGAAAAAAGAGAGCGTAAAGTGCAATTGGAATCAAAATTATTAAATATACAGAAGAAAAACAGATCTAATAAAATTTCAGAAGATGTGAAAATGAATATCATCAATTTCTTGGAACAAGATTGCAACAGTCGTATGTGTGCTGGGAAAAAAGAAACTGTAACAAAGAAAAAAGTAAAGAAACAGAAAAGGTACTTATTAATGACTATGAAGAAGCTACATACAATATACGTCAAAGAAAATGGAAATATATCTTACAGTTCGTTTTGCCAATGTGATGTCATCCGTTTTGATTGTTAAACCTCATGTACAGGAACGTTATACTTGTTTGTGTATGATACATGCAAATTTTGACCTATTAATTCAATCTTTACATCAGTACAATGTAATAACTGTACACAGCACTGAACATTTTTTGGAAGCAGTTTGCTGTGACAAATACAATGAAGAGTGTACAAGTCGCAAATGTAAGAATTGTGATGATCGAAAAATAGTTTACGGAGAATTCGACAATAATATCAAAATCAATGTTATGAAGTGGGAAAATGTATGTGAACAGGTCTTTTTAAAACGAACAGGGAAATACAAAAGCGTCAAGAAAATATCGAAAGTTAATCACACCTTGAGTCCCTACGATGTCGTCAAACAATTCGAAAATGTTGTCCCTATCATCTTAAACCATCATACAAATATTGTTCATCAGTATGCTGCCATAAAGAAACTTTAAGATAATATGTCTGATAATGATGTACTTATTAATGTTGATTTTAGTGAGAACTAGGCTACAAAATATAGTTCAGAAGTGCAAGCTTTTCACTTTGGAGGTTCGAGAAGTCAAATATCTCTACACACAGGTGTTGTATACTGGAAAACAAACAATCAATTAGAGTGTCAAAGTTTCTGTACTATTTCCGAGTTCTTAGATCATGATGCTTATGCCATATGGGCTCATCTTCACCCTATATTTGATTGGATTTCCACAAATTTAAAATCTGTAACAAATTTGCATTTTATTAGCGATTGACCCGTTACCCAGTATAGGAATCGGTTCATGTTCTTGCAAATAGACTTAAATATTTTTATGAAAATTACACTTTCTTCTCTTGGAACTACGAGTATAGTAAGGCTGGGCACGGAAAGGATGCCCCTGATGGTGTTGGATCCGTTTGTAAACGCACTGCCGATCGAATGGTTGTTTTAGGTGAAGACATAGTCGATATAAAAAAAATTACAAACGATTCTAGAAGAAAACTGTTCCAACATTAAAATTATAACAGTGACGCAACAAGATTATGAACATTCTCAAATTAAATTGATTGGGAAGTCATCTAAGCCTTATTCGGGAACTTTAAAAGTCCATCAAGTAATCGGTAATAAAGATAGCTTCAAATTAACAATGAAATTCTTGAGTTGCTTTTGTGAGAATATGTTTAGCTGCGAACATTATTTGATGGGCACTTTGAATTATGTGGATAACGTCAATGCTAAAAAGGCTAAACACATTTACACAAGTTCAGAGTCAGAGAATGAACGCGAAATTCAAACACCCAAAGAAAACATCGATCCAAATACTTCAAGTATAAGTTTTGATACTGTTGAAGATCACGTTGCGACAACTAGCTCATCTAACATTCTAAGAAAAGAAAATGTAACTTATCACAATGGCGACTATATTCTTGTTAAATGTAGCTCTAAAAGATACAGAATATAGATATGTTGCTGTGTGTATGGGAGAAGTAGATGAAGAAGATGGCGAAATTAGAGTTACATTTTTAAAAAGCACTGGTAATGATGGTAAACTATTTAAAATTGATGATAATTGCTATGATCTGCCAGTTGAAGATATACTTTTGAAGTTACCACAACCTTCTATTTTATTATCTAGTTTATTACTCAACGGAGTACGTATTTTTTCTAAGTTCCCAAATGCTTTTGATGTATTCGAAAAATAGCTTTGTTGTCGGGTCTTACTCTTTTTCTATAAACTATTTTTAATGTTATTTTTGTTACTTCTAAAAATGAAAAACATTATTTCCGTTTTTTTATATTATTAAAGTTGAAATATTTAAACTAATTATGTTATTGTAGAATGATACATTCTTCAAGTAACTGATTAAAAATTCTGTATTTGATTTAGCTATTCATAATTATTTATTTATTATAATGATTATTGAATACATGTAGAATATAAAATAAAGGTATTAAAGTAAGGGTGTTTTATATATGTTGATTAATACAGTAAGTTAAAGTTCTTAATAAATCTGGTCAAATATATTACTTACTAAATATAATTGTATTTTCTATAAAACTTTAAGAAGAGTGATATAATTTTATTTTCTGTTATACTGATTATTATTATTGGAATAATAATAAATATAATAATTACTAATAATGGATTATTTTCATTTTCATGATGTTTCAATCATTTTCCTGCTGTCCTGTCATCAGCCGTCGGTCCATTTCATTATCCTGCCACTAGTGTCGTTTTTCTGTTCTATATATTTGCAAATATTGCTCAAAAATCCCTAAAATCGAATAAAGTGTATCGATTTGATAGTTATTATATAGATTTAACTTGGCTCTATTACTTAGGCATCAATTATATATAAAATACGACAAAAAATATATATTTTTTGTAGTCGTTTTCGACCGATTATCAAATATTGACTCACATACTGTTGCAACATGCATTATCCGTAAACATATTTATTATTTATGTATATATTTTACTCAAAAAAAAAAAAACAATTTATAAATTTAACAAATTTTACGACAGTTTAGTGAAAGTTTAATTACGATGATAAATAATTAATGTGGAGTTGACTTGAATTACAAATGAAATTAATGTCGTAAAAATATTTCTTCTCGAGATATTCGAGACGAACATTCACTAACGTACACAGGTATTTGTGACGTAAATGGGTATTTTTTAGTGATTCTTCGGAAAGGCTGATAGCAGTTGTGATAAAAGTCTAAGAGGCCGTCACTCTCTGCAAAAAGCCAAGGGACAAAATTCCCCTGCTCGAACCTCTCCTGGTTCCAAAGGTAAAAAACGCAGTCGGTCTGAGAAAGAGTCTCCCAAAGAGAAGCACGGGAAATCTGTGAGCTGGTAATGGGGGAGAAGAAGCTCAGTTTCAATGCGGTACCTGCTTCCACGCGGGTAGGAATTCGCAATTCGAACCCTATGAGTGTGAAGCATATGCGGCTGCTCCACCGGGCACTAATACTGGCTAGTGCTAAGCATATGCGGCTGCTCCACCGGGCACTAACACGCTATTGCTAAGCATATGCGGCTGCTCCACCGGGCACTAACACTTGCTATTGCTCAGCATATCCGGCTGCTCCACTGGGCATTAACACTGCCTATTGCTCAGCATATGCGGCTGCTCCACTGGGCACTAACACTGGCTATTGCTCAGCGTGTGCGGCTGCTCCACTGGGCACTAACACTGGCTATTGCTCAGTATGTGCGGCTGCTCCACTGGGCACTAACACTGGCTATTGCTAAGCATATGCGGCTGCTCCACCGGGCACTAACACTGGCTAGTGCTAAGCATATGTGGCTGCCCACTGGGCACTAACACGGCTAGAGCTAAGCATATGCGGCTGCTCCACCGGGCACTAACACTGGCTATTGCTAAGCATATGCGGCTGCTCCACCGGGCACTAACACTGGCTAGTGCTAAGCATATGCGGCTGCTCCACCGGGCACTAACACTTGCTATTGCTCAGCACGTGCGGCTGCTCCACCGGGCACTAACACTGGCTAGTGCTCAGCATATGCGGCTGCTCCACCGGGCACTAACACTTGCTATTGCTCAGCATGTGCGGCTGCTCCACCGGGCACTAACACTGGCTATTGCTAAGCATATGCGGCTGCTCCACCGGGCACTAACACTTGCTATTGCTCAGCATGTGCGGCTGCTCCACCGGGCACTAACACTGGCTATTGCTCAGCATATGCGGCTGCTCCACCGGGCACTAACACTTGATATTGCTCAGCATGTGCGGCTGCTCCACTGGGCACTAACACTGGCTATTGCTAAGCATATGCGGCTGCTCCACCGGGCACTAACACTTGCTATTGCTCAGCATGTGCGGCTGCTACACCGGGCACTAACACTGGCTATTGCTAAGCATATGCGGCTGCTCCACCGGGCACTAACACTTGCTATTGCTCAGCATGGCGGCTGCTCCACCGGGCACTAACACTTGGCTATTGCTCAGCATATGCGGCTGCTCCACCGGGCACTAACACTGGCTATTGCTCAGCATATGCGGCTGCTCCACCGGGCACTAACACTGGCTATTGCTCAGCATATGCGGCTGCTCCACTGGGCACTAACACTGGCTATTGCTCAGCGTGTGCGGCGGCTCCACTGGGCACTAACACTGGCTATTGCTCGCGCATGTGCGGCTGCTCCACTGGGCACTAACACTGGCTATTGCTAAGCATATGCGGCTGCTCCACCGGGCACTAACACTTGTTATTGCTCAGCATGTGCGGCTGCTCCACTGGGCACTAACACTGGCTATTGCTAAGCATATGCGGCTGCTCCACCGGGCACTAACACTTGCTATTGCTAAGCATATGCGGCTGCTCCACTGGGCACTAACACTGGCTATTGCTAAGCATATGCGGCTGCTCCACCGGGCACTAACACTTGCTATTGCTCAGCATGTGCGGCTGCTCCACCGGGCACTAACACTGGCTATTGCTCAGCATATGCGGCTGCTCCACCGTGCACTAACACTGGCTATTGCTCAGCATGTGCGGCTGCTCCACTGGGCACTAACACTGGCTATTGCTAAGCATATGCGGCTGCTCCACCGGGCACTAACACTTGCTATTGCTCAGCATGTGGGGCTGCTCCACCGGGCACTAACACTGGCTATTGCTCAGCATATGCGGCTGCGCCACCGGGCACTAACACTTGCTATTGCTCAGCATGTGCGGCTGCTCCACCGGGCACTAACACTGGCTATTGCTCAGCATATGCGGCTGCTCCACCGGGCACTAACACTGGCTATTGCTCAGCATATGCGGCTGCTCTACCGGGCACTAACACTTGCTATTGCTCAGCATGTGCGGCTACTCCACCAGGCACTAACAGTGGCTATTGCTCAGCATATGCGGCTGCTCCACTGGGCACTAACACTGGCTATTGCTCAGCATATGCGGCTGCTCCACCGGGCACTAACACTGGCTATTGCTCAGCATATGCGGCTGCTCCACTGGGCACTAACACTGGCTATTGCTCAGCATGTGCGGCTGCTCCACCGGGCACTAACACTGGCTATTGCTCAGCATGTGCGGCTGCTCCCGGGCACTAACACTGGCTATTGCTAGCATAGCGGCTGCTCCACTGGGCACTAACACTGGCTATTGCTCAGCATATGCGGCTGCTCCACTGGGCACTAACACTGGCTATTGCTCAGCATGTTCGGCTGCTCCACTGGGCACTAACACTGGCAATTGCTAAGCATATGCGGCTGCTCACCGGGCACTAACACTTGCTATTGCTCAGCATGTGCGGCTGCTCCACCGGGCACTAACACTGGCTATTGCTCAGCATATGCGGCTGCTCCACCGAGTACTAACACTGGCTATTGCTCAGCATGTGCGGTTGCTCCATTGGGCACTAACACTGGCTATTGCTAAGCATATGCGGCTGCTCCACCGGGCACTAACACTTGCTATTGCTCAGCATGTGCGGCTGATCCACC